AGGGAATAGTCAGATATATGTACATTCTGGAAATGTAAAAAAAATGAATTTTTGAAAATTCTAACTGCGTATAACCCCTTAACAATTTCCTTATTTAATTATTTACAGTAAGATGTTTTTTTTGGTTGTTATGCCGTGGCATGTATACTTGGACGTCACCAATTTTAGAATTATCTTTCAGTTCTTTAACCTTAGCTAGAAATTGACCGACAGTGGTTGTTCTCGGGCTAGGCGTCGTGAGGGGGTGGGGGGCGTTTTAAGTAGTAACTCTACAAATACATTGCCGCTGCTGACACTGATTAAACAGATAACAGATCAGAGTCCAGCTCGAAAAGAACAAGGGCAGGTCAAAGTTTCCGAGTTAGTGTCCAGGATGTTGGTTGGTTAATTCGTTTGGTAGTATATTATGCTATCATTCCCCATAGAATGCTTAGAGGGTCGTAAACCCTTATAATGGCATCGGATGATTCTGGTTTCGTTTTTACCTGCGGTACTGGGATGTTAGTCGTCCGCTCGCCGATGAGGAGATTTTTAGGTAGATCGTGTATTTTTTTAGCTTTAGGAGTTTTTTTTGTGAACGAATCGTCTAGGGTGTCTACGACGTGTTGGAGGTAATCAGTGCTTCCTCGTCGTCGTGGTGGGAGAATTTTCGAAAGTTAGGTAAAATTCGTTGGGATAATTCTGGCGGCAATTGCGACGTCTGCCGAGCCTGGGCGGGAAATGTTGGAAAGACCGGCGAAATAGTACTTGCCGACTCTGCCTCCTCAGAACATATGGATTTTTTACTACGATTATTTTAAACGGCGAAAGATGTGATATTAGATCTTATTGGCTACAAATATTAAAATCGGTAAGAAATAATAGAATAAACATCATATGATATCTAGCTATGGAAGAAGGTAAAAAAACAAACTTCAACTGTTAAGGTACCTACATTAAATTCATAGGATTTAACCATGGCCGGAGCGCCAGCCATCTGAATCCACATATTTCTCCTTAGAAGTAATGTTAAGTCGTCAACTAAAGTATTTAAATCTTCTTTCTTCTTTCATCTCGTCGTCCTTCGTTCTTTGTTTGAAAAACTTAACCATTTCTAACATGTAATGAAACCATAAGAAGTCATTTTTCTCAAAAACATTTGATTTAAAAATAGTAAGAGATCTTTTTGCTGTAGAATAAACCGCAATGTAAAAAAATTTATTCATTTGGAAAAATTTCCAATGGCGTACAAATTATATTAATAATAGGGATTATCACCTATGATTGATCTATTTTCACAACAATTCGTAAAACCGATTGAGCGCTTCATTCGTTTCCCTTCATACTAAATATAACAAACAAATGGCTCTCATAGTTTAGGAAAAAATAAAAAAAAACAAAAAAAGAGTTTTTTCAAGAGCTTATATCTCTAAAAGAAAACCTTTGGACGAAAAAGTATATTCTTCAAAATGGCATTATTTTGACGAGATTTATCGATGATAAAAGTCCAAGTCGTAAGAAGTGAATAACCCTGTATGTTCAAAACATGTACGTATCAATTAAGATAATAAAATAAAAGCTTCTAAACCAAAATTTGTCCATACTCTGGAATTTGGCGATGAAGAAAGACGTTCCTTTTGGAATTTTGTTATTGGAGAATATTTAAATAGTAATAATAATAATTTTTAAGTGAAATTTTATTTAGTGATCAGGCCACATTTAGTTTCGGGGGTAGTTTCGTCCCAAAATTGTCGTCATTGGTCAGCTGAGAATCCAGAATTCATTATAAACGCAAAGAGGCAGTATTCGCAAAAAGTTAAGGTTTGTTGTGGATTACTAAATAATAGAATAATTGGCCTTTTCTTTTTTGACGGCAATTTGAATGCGAATAGATTTTTAAATTTTCTTAATAATGAATTTCGGAACGTATTAGATGATTTGTCTTTAAGAAATCTCCTTAATTTGAAGTTTCATTTAGATGGTAACCTTATTCATAACGCTGCTACTGTGAGAGAATGATTAAACGAACGCTTTGAGAATTGTTGTCCGTACATGACACCATTTTTTTTCTTTGAGGTTTATTGAAACAAAAAGTTTATAAATCAAGGCCACAAATTGCATGCGAACTACGTGCTAGGATAATGCAAGCCTGTGCAGAAATTACCCCAAACCAAGCAAAAAAAGTTATTAAGAATGTACGTAAAAAAATTGAGAAGTGCATAGACGTAAATTGTAGATATATAGGGTGTCCTGGTACTTGATGCAAAAAAGCCGACTACAAATAGATGAGGTCAAAATTCATACAAATTTTTTTCACATGGGCCTTCTTCAACAAGTTATACGGGTTCTCAAAGGTGAAAATTAAAAAGTTATTTTTATTTATAATATTATTTATTTACAGTCTCCAAACTATTAACTTCACGATGCAATTTTAGTGACTGACACATGCATACAGCTTATTTTTAATGTTGTAAGTGAAACTTCATAATGCCCAGAACGCCAGACACGGACTATGCCCAATAGTTAATAACCCAGAATTTTTGCATAGATGAAGATCGCAGTCTGCCTGCATAAAAAATAAGTCCTTTGGAGAATTTGCCAATGATAATACCCTTTTTGTTCAACTTGGTAAAATTAACAGTTTAGGAAATATTTGTGATTTTATGACACAGTGCACATCGAGCGGCGCCTCCACCATTTTTTGTTCTTAATTTTTGATTGAATATAATTACTACGTTAGAACCGTACATATTTTTAAAATAAGAATCTACAAAATGTTACTGTCTGCTAATGTAATTTTTACTAACAAAATTTAACACTTGATTAGAATTTTACTCATAAGAGGACGTAGTGCGCCTTGGATCTTGTGAGATCACGCTCATTTTCCTTCACAAAGTACACTTCTCAAGCTGTATATCTTAAAAAAAATCCGGTTAAATTCGCACAATAAATAAAGATTTTACAGGGTAAACATAAATCACATAAAACTCCTAAGATGTAGACATAAATACAGGCATCAAACTAAATATACCTAAATAAAAATATAATAAAAAAATTGAGGAATGAGAGAATTTTAATATGTTGTAGATGACAAGAGAATATGATCCAAAATATCAACATAATCAGTATAAGGAGAATAGAATTCTTTAATAGAATTAAAGGTGCTTGTAACGATTTCTTAAATTACCAAGGTATACCTATTGTTTAGTTTGCTTACATAAGAAAGGGATTTTTTATGATTAAACATGAATTATAATTTTATCGACCTTTTCTTATTTTCGTAATGCTTACTGTCTGTTACTGCAAATCACATCATTAAAGATTTCCCTGAAGAAGACTTTCTAAGTCCGCTTTCACACACAGCTCATTGTTTTTAACATTGGACGCAAATAAATAAGAATTAATTAGTAACATCTACGCCAAACGGCAAGTTTTCTGGAACATTAAGAGACAGATTTGTATCATAAAATTATTTTAAGAAAACATTATTTATTTGTATATGCTTCTTTCATGTATAGACGCGCTTGAAATATTATTATTTAGTTTTACTATTTATTACTGTCAAATAAAATTTTGTGATTTTTTAAGCATTAGATGCAAGTTAATTGTACAAAATAATAAAAGTTGGTAAGTAGTAGTATCTGATGAAGTGAATATAACAGAAATATTAGTTGCTATTTGAATATCTATTTCAATATTAGAGTTGTCAATTTAGGAGAAAATAACAATCAAAAGTTAAAATTTTTAAGAGTTTAAAAGATATGATATTAGGATGTAAAAAGTTTTCTAAATTTTAATTTTCATAGTTGCATAATCATGGGACCAACATTATGCCTCGAAAAAATCAAGGCTAATATGATTAGTTTTCAAAATATTTGAAAAAAAAAACGAAATTTTGGAAATCGTTTTTGTTTCATATCAGCCTTGTTTGAGGTGATATTGAAAAAAGAAGAACGCTTTCTCTTGGCCACTTTTTCCCCTCTATCGAACGGCATAATCATTTTTTCGTTTCGTCTCTCCTGGACCATCATCAACTTCATGTTTTTAAATACGACTCTGGCAAGGCATTACATTTTTTGCAAGCCTTCATGACCCAATACACCAATAAAACATTATTGGAGTTTTAATCTCCATCCCCTGGTCATACATAATTCGATAAGTTGTTGCGTCAAAATTAAAACATTATTACAATTTTAATTTCACTACGACAAATTAATTCTTAAAAATCCATATGAACAACCAAAACTCCAAATGAATACTATACTTTAAAAAATTACAGTAAATGTTCAAAAACGTTTCCATTTTGGCAAATGTTGAAAATGAAGATAAGCATAATATTATGATTGGAATTTATTATATCAGTAACGGCAACTGTGAAAGAACATGCCAAATCTATTTGTATGAATTTGTTAGCCTTAATTTTTTAGAGGCATAATGTTGGTCCCCCGATTATGCAACTTTGCCTCCATTTGAGCTACTTCGTTTCTCTTACCGTTTCCTGTTCCCTGTAGTGAGAAGCGAATTTGTAACAGCCTGTATGGATATGTATGGTTGTAAAAACATAAAAATTATGGAAAACATTATTTTAAATGAATATAAATTCATAAAAATTTGTTTTACAGTTAAAGTAAATATGAATTAATTCATCATTTGAATTTGGAAAACTGAGATGGTAAATATTTATGAAAATTTTTCAAATGTAAAATAATTTTGTTCCAAAAGGGTAGAATAATATTAATATAACATTATGTAATGTTCGCACTTAACGATAAAATTCACATATTTACATTACATGAGTAGGTATACCTTACTCGTCCAAAGTCAGCATGCCAGAATATGAGAAAATTATTACATAAATTATTTAAATTGTAACGGATTATAAGACGCACCTATCTTAGCACATCTTGACCTTTTAAAAACAAGTGTAATGGAACTTTGAAGTTATCGAAAAACAAAGTAAGGTGAGGGTTCGCAATTATACATATTAATGGTAACTAGCTTAGGTATATAAACCAGATTTGTTACTATTTAATATAGTGCAATAGTGACCACCACAAGATAACAATTATGAAAGCTGTGGTGAGTTATACAGTTTGCTAATATTATTCGGTTTTTTTCCTAATTTTGTTAGCTATTCTAAGTACCAAAATTCTCTTTAAGAATAGATGGAGAGAACGCTATATATTCATTTTTTTTAAATATTATTTAACGACAGAATATTTTTTCTGAAAATGTATAGTAAAGGCATAAATAAAAATACTGAAATACTTAATTATCTACTAAGTAGCTATAACGCAACTTTTAATAGAAAAATACATTATTAAAAAATGATTTTCGTAAATGGAAATTGCGTGTCCGAGCAATTTGATTCCATATAAAAAAGCACGAAGTAGATTGAGGTATTGAATACGTTTCAATACCTCAATCTACTTCGTTAATATATTTTTATCGACATCGTTTAGTTAAAATAAATATTTTTAGGTTATATTCCTGGTTTATATTGGATGTATCTATGCCCAGTTCAGAACATTTACACAAGGTCCCCATATTCGAATTTTGAGCCAAACGCAAGAAGGGCCCAATCCAGATGGATCCTATAGATGGAGGTAATATATTTTTTTTATGTAAAAATATATTAAACAGTAATTATTAGATACCTTTTAATATTTGCAGTGCGATGATTAAAGATTATTATATTTTTTGAAAATTTAAGAGTAAACGAAGTCGGACATATCCAATGTAATAAAATATTTTCTTTGCTACATTTCCAGTAAAAATGTGTAATAATTGTAATTTTTCTTTTTTATTGCATATTTGGATTCTACTAGTTATTTAACATTTATTTTCATCAAATTCCTCTAAATTCAACCGGCATTATGAAATTTATTTATTTTTGGTGCTGGTGCTTCTTTTTTATAATTAATGCATGGCAGCATGGGTATAAATACTCATAAGCTTCACACACATGCTTTTTTTAGTCACATATGCATTAAAGAATGCCCCAATTTTTTTCGTATTGTGACATTTATTTGGATTTTGTACTGACATGTATTTCCGATAGCTTTAAGTATTTTTTTCGCTATGGGAGGTTTTTGTTAAAATTATCTAAAATTATTTCTAAAATATGGTTATTAATAGAAGGGAAAAGTGATAACAAAATCATACTAACATAGGTCGATTATTATTAATAACTGTTTAATTCGCTAAACTATTTCACATTTCAATTATTGCCACCTACAAGTGTGAAGAAACAAATTAATCAATATTGTTGAACAATATGCACATAAGCAGATATTAAAATTAACATTTTCCTACGCCCAATAATGTCCACATTTTCTATTAATAATTCATTTCTTATTGGATGATGAATGTGGTTATATTTAGTGTCCCAGAAAGGTTAAAAGGATCTGAGAATGTAACTTGCATATATTTATGTTAATGTTTAATAATGATCTATAAGCATGTAGTAAAAATATTAGAAACCTTTAATAATATTTAATAATTAATTTTTAAAGTTTGACACGTCAAATAAATATTTTAAACCCCTTCCGCCCTAATTCGTGATGTCATTTAGTGCGATCGATAATCGAAGATAAATTACAGGGATGGGAGGGCCCGGCAGTATGACAAATTCACTTTGCTTGGAGACTACATTTCTTTAGATTAGATTCCGTCTCGTTGGCATGGGAGTTGTACAATTGTAGACTAGACGGCAAACGGCCGAGAAGCTGACTGTGTTTTCGATCTGAATGATATCACAATGTTTTTTGATCACGTTAAAATTTAATATTTTACATAACTTTAAACATCTTTAATTAATGTATTATAGTATTAAAGGAATTAATATTTTTACCACTGTTAGCTGTTGTCGGTCATAGACTTACAAATTTACGCAGCTCTAAAAGAAATTAAATTTTCATACAAGTTGCCTATTACTAGTTTAGACCATACAACATTCTTAATTTAGTTAATTGAAATTACATTTGTTATGAACTTAATATAAAACGATAATCATGGTACATATCACCAAGCAGTTTTTAATATCACTTTAAAACTGTTTTAGCTAGAATCGTTTGATACAAGTTTTTTTTATTTAAGTACATATATCTTTAATATTTAAGAAAGTATCACCCATTTACTTTTCTGTATGCTTATAGCCAGCTCATTTAAATTATTTAATACACAGTCAGTTCTAAAAAATGTTTGTGAAATTTTTATACCTGGATTTCAAAAAAGACAAATTTTGTTTACGGTTTACAGTATACATTTAGTATAGTTATGTTATTTCAAATCCTTATTCGATATCAAAATTATATCTACATTTTGAACTGTAATAAATAAAGATGCATATCAAGTGAGAAATCTTTAACTCGAACCGTTTTAAAGTTATACGAAGAAATATTGTTTTGCTATACCATATAGGAGGGTTACATTTCAGGGCATTGACTATTGGATATATGTAATTTTGCCTTAATAATTTTATTTTCATACAAGTAGTCCGTGGTCAATCTTTCTAGGACATTCTTTACCATAAACTGGAATAGAGTGTGTAATTTTCATTTGTGTTTATGTTGCTTAACTTTAATATCACATTTATATTAAAGAAATGTATAATGATGAGAAAAAAATTATATGAACGGGATTGCTACTTACTATGTATATATTTTTTAGTTATGATACGGAAAATGGCATTTCAGCAGAAGAGGAAGGGCATGTAAAAAATATAGGAAATCCACAAGCTGAAGCCATGGAAGCTCGTGGAGGTTTTAGATATACAGCACCAGATAACACCCCAATTTCTCTGCAGTATATTGCTGATGAGAATGGTTTTCGAGCATCTGGTGCACATTTGCCTACACCGCCGCCAATTCCTCCAGCAATACAAAGAGCTCTTGATTTTATAGCAACCCACCCTCAATCAAGATTTCCTTAATTCATATTATAACTAACTTCTATACTACAAGCTTTATGTACTTTAAAGTAAACCTAAGTAACTTAAATATGGCAAATACTACAAATACCATAACTATATTTTACTTCGATACTTGCTACCATAGAAATACTTTTTATATGGTATATAAAAACCAAAGCGAAGTAATTTACTTTCAAGTACATAATATATCTAATTACCTTAGAATTATGAAATCTTAATTTAAGATTAAGTGTTATCTATTTATTGAATATATTATACACTGCATTATAAAAAGAATAAAAATAATTTTTGCAGATCAAAAACTTCTGTTTTGTTCCTTTTTTATTGCTCCTTCCACAGAATAGTTGTTGTAAAAATTATTTCTTTAACATATTCATCAAAATTTCTAATATTCTCTCTGAAGTAGAGATCAAAAGTTTCTACTTCATTTTTTACTTAGGAGAAAGAAAAATAAATCGACAGGATATCGATGAAAATATATTTAATTAATTTTTATTCAGTTTCAAAAATTTTCATTGCAGCTCACACCAAGAGCTAATCTAAAAAACAAATAGTAAAAGCTTTCATCACATTAATGTTAAAATGATTAGAAACTTTATAATGCCTCCATAACAGATCTTTTAAATTGATATTGTATATTATTCAATTAGGAATTTTAAAAAATATGATAATATCAGTTAGGCACCAACTCTCCTCCCGCCGAAGCGGTTTTATCGTCTCCTGGCGATGCGATGGTTTTCGGAAGGCGACGTTCATTGGTCCTCCTTTTGGAGGTTGCCGAAACAGGTTGGAACATCGATATAAGCGTTTGGTATGGACAACAATGGTGATGACTAAAACGACTTTTAAGTTGTAAGGACTCTAGTTTATTATGAAACCGTTAGATCCAGTAACGGATGAAGTAATGTTCTACCAGCCCCAGAGTTTGTGGTATCTTTTTCGGAAGAACCTGCGGCAGAATCAGATCTTGACCATATAATAAAACTGGTGATTTTTGGTTAGGAAAGTTTATTTTAAATTCATAAACAAATGTTCTTGAGTCTATGGAAAGATATATCTGGTGTTTCAGTTAAAATATTTTTAATGTCATAACGAACATGATGTTCCCCGTAATTTTAGCAAGTAATCAAATGGAATTAGTTCTTCAGCGGCGGATCAAAAATTTTTTTCTGTGAAATTTATAAGGGAAAATTGCTACCAAAAACAATTTAGTGGTTCCTTCAAGTGTATAAAATGTATAATCTTTAAATGCAATATTGATCTTTGGCAAAAACTGTATCAATACGATATTTGCTCCTGTTTTATTTATTATGATCCTCTCGGTATATGATAAGACATGAGGAAAAACATTTCTTTCAGTAATTTTACTCAATGTTTAACATTTCATAAGATTATGATACAAAAAAATATTTGGAACTTAAAATTTCGAGACTATTAAAAATTACTAAGTGAAAGTAAGTTAACTTAACGCCATTTTTACGTCATAATCTTCTTAATATTAATTTTTGGACTATGACAAGTTGAGTTAAATACCAACGATTATTTAATAAATTAAGAATCGAATTTTTAATATAGGAAATATTTTATAAAATTTCTGCTCGATCCAATTTTGAAAATAAGTATTCGGGTGTTCCATTTGAAATAATGGCAGCTATTTGTAGAACATAGCTAATATTGTCTGTTGACGCAAATATTCTATGACACGGAATAAATATATGGTTATAATTATATTGTTAATTATTATTTTGGTATACACTTTTGTAGAAATATAGTTTTGCAATACAAATTATGCTGTGAATCATAGATAGGTATGTGGGATTTAGGAAAAGGCTAGGATTTCATAGATCATAACATTGCACTGACCTTTTACTTAACAATTCTTAAAAGAATATGAACACTTTAGTCTATGATTAGATGCATGAAAGCTATTATAAAATGTCTCATAGCTTGATGTATTACAAACATCCAAAGAGATAGTTATACAAAGGTACTTAATTTTTCCTACGAAGAGGTTATCTAAAATTTGAATATCAATTCTTATCTCACATAATTAATTAATTTATTTATTTACACTGACCTGACAGATTGTTTCAAATATAGAGCAGGACAAACAAAAAAATACGTAAAAGAATTCTATCTAAAATAGACGACATAAAATAAAATAAAAATAAAAAAAAAAGTAAAGAGTGGCCGAAATTCCCTATGATTTAGACACAATATAGGTTGGTGATTGTTATATTACGTTGCTATATGGAGTAGATAAATATAATAACGTATAGAATGAAAGGATGGAATATTGAATGCTTTACGGCAAAGTATATCAGGATAATCTATGTTGTTATTCAATAGTTTGTATAAGAATAAGAGATAAAAGTACTTTCGACGTAGGTAATGTTAAATAGTTCATATTAAATCTATCTACTTAACATGTCAGATTGTGGAGTGCCTCTAATAGGATATACAGGGTGTTTACTTTTAAAAACTTTAAAAGTTGAATCTTTAACTGATTTTAAGATAAAAAGTTCATATGAACATGAACAAAAATTTATTTGGACTCTTTATCTCTAGAACCAAGCCGTTGCGGACCCATATTCATATAAACTTTTTAACTTAAAATTAGTTAAGGATTCACTCTTTAAAGTTTGTACAAGCACTTAATAAACACCCTGTATATCTTTAAAGGAAAGCTTTAAGAAATTTGCAAACTTTTTCAAATGTGGACTGGAGGAGGGCGTTCCAATTAAAATTTTCCACCTGAAAAATATCGGAATTAAAAAAAAACAGAAGAAACCAGAGACACGTCAATTTTCTTTTCAAGGGGGGCACGTGATGGCGTAAGTTTGCTGGCAACGCTTTAGGCAGGGGCGTAAAATACCCTTAAACTTTAAACGCCCTATGTTGAGTGACACCTCATTTTAAAGCTTTTTCAATTCTGCTCACGTCGACATACGACTTTTTAAATTTTGGTTTGGATATGACAATAAAATGATCACTGAAGTAATTGCAAGTTTCCTGAGACTCAAATTTGGTTCCATTGCGATGTGACCCAAGACAGCTACCTGATTCCTGATTCCAAATAATAGATGCATACTCGAGTTTTGATTTCATAGGCGCATTATACAATAAAAGGATCGAACGGTGGAAACTTTATCAAGATGCTTAACATTTCTTTTAATGAGGACTTTTATTAAAATTAATAATTATTACAAGGTAAAGTGGAGGGAGATCGACCAATTTATCATCGTAAAAAAAACAGTTTTACAAAAGCTTGTTAATAGATGCTTTCATAAGTTTCATGTGGAAAATTTGCGCTGTAAATCAACCAACGAAACGGGTAGTATAAATCAATTAACGTACAGGATGAGTTCTCCACCAAATTTCATTATAGTATTACAAATATTTTGAATAATTAAATATTGTTTGGATTTTTTAATTTCTTTTGCTAATTTGTTTACTTTTGTCACTTTATATGTCAAGATTAATGCTTTCGTTGATTATCTTACTTAATCTTCATGTTTTTTTGTCGTCTTTTAGCTCAAGGTACTTTATAATCAAAACAATATTTGTTAAACGATTATACAGGGCGAATCATAATTATTTGAAGCTTTTTAACGAAAGATTCCTCAAATCAAAACAAAACAATTACTTAACATACATTCAAATCTTCGCGTTTTCAAATAAACAGAGGTGCTGACATTGTTCACATAAGATACATTGAAAATACCAGTCTTTTGTCGCATCATTAAAATGATTACTAAAATATAACCCCCTATTTGCAAAAAAATTGGCTTGCGGTCCACAGCCTTCTCACATTTTCAGATGTGTTAACCTGAAAAACGGGACACACTGTACATAAATATATATGTTTATATGTATACTAGTACTTGTGTATACTAAAAATGTAAATAAATTAACAAATGTTATGAATTCGAAATATCTGCATAAACCAACTAATAGATAGTTATTTACTACTAAATGTATTCCTAATGGTCATTTGTTTGTTTTCTATTTATGTAAAGATACTAAGCAATACTTTAAGTAGGAAACATTTTTATAGTCAGAAACCGCTCCCTTTCGTCTCATCTTTTGGTTTGGGAAGTTGTTGATCCGGGTTTTGTGAATATATTATTTGTGACCTTTTCAATTAAATGAATAACATTTTAATTGCAGTATATTAGGAACAATTCTAAAACCTTGATGCTAAAGGCGATTTCTCTTACATAAGAATCCTGATATTTGGAAAATACATATTTGCACAAACTACTATTAGCTATTTACTATTCATATTTTAGTTATTTTATGAAGATGAAACAGATGAAGATGATGATCTTCCTTCTGTTTTCACTGATTACATACGAGTACATGTAATCAGAAACAAGCGAATTAAGTGATTTTTTGAATTAAGTGTACAGTGATAAGTTCTATATTTTAATTTATTTATAACTACATCACTTCATTTGTCTTTTGTTATCCCCAGACATACATAAAGACAAAAAGCAACTGCATTGGTGGGATTTGGAAATCTAATAATTATAATATTTTAACATTATTTTGTGTCTCAACGTCATTTATCTATTCAGTGAATATATTTTCGAGATTGCTGCTCCCATTATTGAGTTTTTTTTTAAATTTACTTTAAAAATATTAAGCCTATTCAAGTCAGTTCTAAAAATTCTTGCTAAGTTATCCCGGTTAACTGCGTTATCTTTTGTCCCAAGTCATAAATGTTAGAAACAAAATAGAAGATATTTTCTTATTCTGAAAGTTTGCAGCATTATTTACTGATTTCAGTATGTCAGGTATGTTTTTTTCATTAGTATCATATGCATTATTTTTATTTTATATAATTATTAAGTTAGGAGGGTTGCGTTTTATATTTCGGGAATGGACGATGTTGCTGTTGCCATCTTACAACCGACGTCTCTATCGCAAAGTTCGACTTTTTGTTGGGTTTACTTACTTAGAACATTTTGACGTACAGGTGCTATTTGTGTTGTTTATTATTAAATCGTGAACATTTCCGTGCGATTATATTTTATAACTTTCAACGTGAGTTATCTCAACAGCGATGCATCAATGAACCTAATTCGACTTTTGGCGATGAAGTATTATCAAAAACCACTGTACTACTGGTGGTATACGGAATTCAATCCTGGCCGTGGTTCGCTCATTGATGAATTTCGTGAAGGTTCAAAATCGGTTGTTGTTCCAGAAGATATTGATGCTGTGCGTGTACTGATGCTGCGATATTGTCATGTGACTTACCGTGAGAT